AGAGAAAGGACATGCCACATCATATGTGTGGAGGTCAAAGGACAAATTGTGAGAATTGATTTTTCTTATTCCACAATGTGGGTCTCAGGGACTGAACTTGGGTCATCAGGCTAGGCCACGTGGGTGGCCCAGTGTTCTTGATATCTTAATGCTTTTGTATTTGGGGATCAGAAAAGTATTTTCAGTCAACTCCGGTTTTGTTTGTTTGTTTGTTGTTCGAGACAGGGTTTCTCTGTATTGCTTTGGAGCCTGTCCTGGAACTCACTCACTCTGTAGACCAGGCTGGCCTCAAAATGACAGAGATCCACCTGCCTCTGCCTCCCGAGTGCTGGGGTTACAGGTGTGCACTACCAACATCTGGCCATGTGTTTTAATACCCAGATTTAAAAATAAAAGCAAGTCAGGATGGAAATGCAGTTTAGTGGTAGCATGGCCCTGTGGGTAAGTGGGCCCGCACTGTGTTAAGAATGGTAGCTGAGTCAGCCATGGTAAGTAGCAGTAGCATGGTTTCTGTTTCCATCTCCAGCCTTGGAGGAGAGCAAACCCTTTCCTCCCCAAGTTGCTTTCATCAGTGTTTTATAATAGCCACAGAGAGCAAACTAGAACACTGTCCTAGTTAGGGTCACTATTGCTGTGATGAAGCATCACAGCCAAAGCAAGTTGGGGAGGAAAGGGTTTATTTGGGTTACACTGAAGGAAGTCAGGGCAGGAACCTGGTGCAGGAGCCGATATAGAGCCATGGAGGGGAGCTGCTTACCTACTTGCTTCCCATGGCTTGCTCAGTCTGCTTTCTTATAGACTCAGGACCACCAACCTAGGAATGGCTCCAACCACAATGGACTGGGCCTTCCCATATCAATAAGAAATACCCTACAGCAGGGGTTCTCAACCTGTGGCTTATGACCCCCGTTGAGGGGTCTCATAAGACAATCAGAAAACAGACTACAATTTGTAACAGTAGCAAAATTACAGTTACAAAGTAGCAACAAAAATGATGTTATAGTTGGGGGTCAGCACAACATTAAGGATGTGTTAAAGGGTTGCTGCATTAGGAAGGTTGAGAACCGATGCCCTGCAGGCTAACCTACAGCTCATACACTATTGGGTGTTTATAGTGCCTTGCAGGAGCCCTTCCACTAGGGGAATGCAGACTGCATTTTCCTCATATAGTCTGCCTCTTGTTCTCAGTGACTTGTACTTTGTTTATGAGCCTGGTCATTTGTTTTTGGATTCTCCTGTTAAATCTATTGTTGCTACACCATCTAACCAAAAGTCTGGGGTTCTATGAGTTTCTAGACAGGGTTGCTCTGTGTAGCCTTGGCTGTCCTGGAGCTTGCTCTGTAGACCAGTCTGACCTTAGCCCAGCCTGCCTCTGCCTCCTGAGTGCTGGAATTAAAAGCAAGCACCATCCCCGACCAGGGTGAACAGATAGACCGATGGCCAGTGTACTTGAAAAAAACAAAACAAAACAAAACAAAAACCTACACTCCAATTAGACAAGACACGGGAGAGGTATACCTGGTTGCTCATAACTAATTAGGCCACCTATTTACAGCGAGGTGGCAAGGGTCAGGCGGCAAGCCACTCACTGGACAGGGTTTGTTCGAAGGGAAGGCTCAAGGGAAGAAAGCTACCACTGTTAACTGCTGGGAGAGTTGTGCTTCCCCTGGGACAAGGCCACTGTGAATCGTGACTGATGGCTCCTTCTTCCACAGGGCCCACAGTTTAACCTGTAACAGACAAGTAGTGAGAATGCCCCATTTGTCTTTTTTGGTGCATCATATGAATTCAGGTGATTTGCCCGGGAGTACTTCTGAAGGCTCAGCATGATCTAATAAAATGGACTCCTATTTTTCCAACTGGGCTAGATAGAGGCTGTGTTGGCTCTCTAACTTGTAATGTGTAGACAGTTAGCAAATACCGGCTGTTGAAGTAAGGTGGGCTTTGACTGGACTAAATTAGGTACCCTCTCCAATCAAAGTCCCCCTCTCCATCACCCCTCCCCAAACTCTCCCTCCCCAATCAAACTCCCCCTCTCCATCACCCCTCCATCAAACTCCCCCTCTTCATCTCCCCTCCCCAATCAAACTCTCTTCACCACCTCCCCCCTCATCAACACTT